AATTCCGCCAAGATGTGAACTTAACACCTCTAAGTCGATAACCTTGACCTCACATGCTGTTGACGGAAGGCAAGTTCAAACAGGAAAGACGACAGAGTGCCTTATTGCTATTTCCAAATTTTAATTGTCGTAATATTAGATACCAAAATATGTTCAACTTCCATATTTAAAGCGTAGTATTTGTAGTAATACTATACATGATTCATAGATAGGCTTGTATGTATGACATACTCAAATAGGAAAACGACGAGTTTTTTTAAATACAATGACGGAACATCTATTTATTTTTTCCGACTCTTTCATTACTGTTATCATATTAGTTTAAGGAAATCAACGCAGCATAGTAAATCGCCTATTTATACTGTTGTTTGTAAATGTATTCTTTACCTGTGATGTGTTTTTCAATACCTTTTCTTTAAAATCTGTGACAACTTTATACAGCTGATTACTTTAAGAAAAAATGGCTGCTATATAAAATAATAACGGAAAATTCCTAATTCATAGATTTTCCGAAAATTGTGCTCCTTAAAATATGTATTGTTTTATTAAGCATTTTTTAATGCAACAAAAACAATTACCATGCAATTTTCAAAACAATTTAAAAAATAGAAATAAAATGCATATTATAAGGTAGTTATAACTCGTGTCTATATGAAAAACAAAGTCTGTAATTAATAGATTTGCAAATTACAATTTTAAAAACCCTTACTAATAATGCATCTTTTCATTACTTTTTATTTTAAATTTTCTGGCCAAGAGTAACTGGTTCCAATTATGAGATGACTTTAAGAAATAAAACAAATTACCACGGTTCTAAGTAAAATATGGAGTATCGGTTACTTATCTTAAACGAGAATTATATAGGATATTATATTCTTTTTTTTAAATTATAGGTATTACGACTCAAACACCATATAGCAATCCGTTTTGAATATTCTAAACTTTTAAAGCTCACATTTATCTTTTGAATTACGATGTAAAACTATTTACTGTCCTTTTTGTCTATTTTAAATAATCTACGTTTTATTTTTATTTTAAAATTAGGACTATACAAAAGCAATTAGTTTTTTTTTTTTAAATTTCATTTTTTGTGGGAAAATGGTCTGTTAATTATGATTAAATCCTTTTACTATTAAATATTGATTTAGTCCGTTAAAATAATCTACGTAATGAAAATTTTTGTCTCTTAAATTACAAAAGAGCCCAAATAAAAAGGGCCGCCATAACATAAGGCCGACAGGTTATAAGGCTGGCATTAATGAGCCTTGAGGAAGTCCGAGAGTGCTGCCGTCCAAGAGGAAATTGTTAATGATACTTTTATGATGGAGATTACAGGGGAGTCTTAGAAACAAAAAAATACACATGGATGCCATAATATCATCATGTGTCACCATTTAATTGAAGAAAACAATTAATTGTTTACATAGGTTTACCTAAACTTTTAACTTTAAATGCATGCAAGATAAAACAAAAAAAAAAATGAAATATATTTTAGTATAAGGAATGAAAATCTGTAGTCGTATCTAATTTATCTTTTGGGCGTACAACATTTTAAAGGTTTGAAATTGTGTTAAATTTTAACTCCTTTTGCGGTTTCAATGGCAACCAGAGTTGATATCCCGACAGAAACCTACGTATCAAATACGTATAAGATTTAAAACAAATCTATAAAAATCGTAGGAACCTAATAACGGTAGTACATTTTCGTTAGGTAGAAGAAATTTTAAAAATAACTATTAGATCGTATATGTAGATTACAATTCATTTTTGAATGACCTCCAATTTCCGAAAGTGGTTCTGAACTCTAATTACGGGTTCAAAAATACCGTTTTAACTAAGTGCGTGAAACGCGTATAGAGCTATTAACTCCTGCACGGAGATTAGTTTCAACTTTTGAGCAATTTTCAGTAACCGGAAGAGTAATTCAATCTGTTTCTGATTTCTTAAAAATAAGTAATAATTTTTTTATTCCCAAAAAGTATATTTTAAGACCTCTCGCCTCTATGTGTTTTCTTTTTCAAAAATGAGCGGTTCGAGCTCTGGACTTTCGGTTTAGTATCCGACATTAAATGAAGACTTTTTACAATCCATTAAAAATATTATATGTATTTTTAAATATATGTGCTAAAATCTTTAATTATTGTAATGTACTTTCCATTTTTATTTGAGTTATTATAAATAAAGGTCAATAACCTAACAATATTATAAATTAAATTGTTGTATTAAACTAAAAATATCTACCTAAAATTATTGTAACGTTATGTCTTATTATATACATATATATATATATATATATATATATATATATATATATATATATATATATATATATATATATATATATATATATATATATATATATATATATATATATATAGCTATGTCCATTTGGCTCCCGGTCAAAAACCCCCTGGACATAAACCCCCCGACATAAACCCCCTGAACAAAAACCCCCGCGACATAAACCCCCTGGACAAAAACCCCCCGCGATATAAACCCCCTGGACAAAAACCCCCCAATTGAGGTTTATATAAGGAAAAACCAAAGATGATGAGAACCAAAATTAATATATAAATACAAAACAAACATAAGAAACAACTTTTATTTTGATTATAATTTTAAAAAGACAGATTGTGAGCGATGCCTCGCAAATACTCAATAATGGTGGACTCATTAAAATTTTTAACAACAGTTAAAACTCGAGAGCTGCTATCAATATATTTTTTTTTCTGTTTTGGTAAACAGTGACCTGAATTAATATGTCTAAAATAAACTTGTTGGAGAGATTGTTCCTTTTTAATAAAGTCAATAAATTTCCAAATATTTGAAGGGCAACATCCCATATGCGACTGAAAACTTCTGTGCCAGCCTTCAACTGAGTTGTTTGTTTTTGGCATAAGGTCTTCTGCACGTGTGTGCATGTTCCACATGTCAAGTGGAAACATAGGTTGTCTTCGACCTCGACGTTGTGGTCTGCCAACATAGTAGTCCTCAAAGTAGTCTGCAATCGGCATTGCTTCTTGGGGGAAAATTTCCAATAATTTTTCAAAGGCATGATTCATGTGTTCGATGGGAACAAAGGCCAACGCATTCTGAGCTTGGCAGCAAATTCACTATCAACTTGGTAGAGTTGTTGAAGGCCAGAGTCCTGAATTGAACGAACTCCATTCCAGAAAATATACGATTTGTCGAGAAATAAATTTGATTTTATATTTATACCATGGTTCTGTATGCCAAGGTGGATATGAACCAAGCTTCCGCCGGTGAATCCCTCACATCTTTTGAATTGTTAAGAAAGTGTTGCTTTGATCCGCACGGCTCCCACATGTGGATGGCCTAGATCTAAGGTGTTGTCGGTGCCCGATCTTTGATCAAATACAACTAAGGTCACTCCTTGATTTCGAAAAGCATTTTTTTTAGGTAGAAACTATTTTCTTAGTCGTAAAAAAATTAAATTAATTTAATGTAATTTTTTAAAATTTCTTGGTTCACATCATCGTTATTTTTTCTTTATATATACCTCAGTCCGGGGGTTATTATCCGGGGGGTTTATATCGCGGGGGGTTTTTGTCCAGGGGGTTTATGTCGTGGGGTTTTTTTTTCCGGGGGTTTATGTCGGGGGGTTTATGTCCAGGGGGTTTTTGTACAGGGGGTTTGTCTTAAAAATTATGTAATCAAAATATGCTTGTTATGGTGATTTCATGTAAAAAAAAATTGTGTTTGTAGTTCAGTTATTTTGGGGTTTCTCATTGGAAATTCTTGAACTAAATTCGAAATATCAATTGCACATCTCATGAAAGTAATCAAGTATGCTGGCATTATCATCCATTTCTCTACTTGATTTGGGAGTTTCCATACAAGCAACCATGGTGAAGTCTTCTGGATTGTAAATCGCTTCTAGGTTTGATATGCTCTTTTTAACCTATTAGACGAAAAAAAATCTAGTAAACCTTCAAAGACTTGGTTCAAGCCAATACACATTGGTCAGCATATTGAAATCACATAGTGTTGTATTTTTTTTCAATTTAAAATAACACACACACTTATAAACACACACGCATATATATATATCTATATATATATATATATATATATATATATATATATATATATATATATATATATATATATATATATATATATATATATATATATATATATATATATATATATATATATATATACATATATATACATATATATACATATATATACATATATATATCTATATATATATATCTATATATATCTATATATATATATATATATATAATATATATATATATATATATATATATATATATATATGTATATATATATATATATATATATCTATATATATATATATATATATATACATATATATATACATATATAAATACAAATATATATATATATATATATATACATATATATATATATATATATATATATATATATATATATATATATATATATATATATATATATATATATATATTTGTATTTATATATGTATATATATATGTATATATATATATATATATATATATATATATATATATATATATATATATATATATATATATAATATATATATATAATATATATATAATATATATGTTAATTTTAAATAGTGTTACAAATTAACAAATTAAACTATGTTTTTCCTCCTAATTTGAAGTGAATTAAACTCTTATTACACTCCTCCCTCAATCCACCCCCCACATTTCGCGGGCTATACAGCCATACAACTTGATTAATCTACTAAATATAGTAAATAGAAAAACATTGCGTTTTTTTAAGTTTTCATTGATTTCTTAAGTTGCTAGAATCTAGTTGTGTAACGTGTTTTAACAAAAACATGATTGTTGAAGAAATTAGACGCTACATTGAGTTTATCGTATCTATAGTGATATGATACTATAAACAACTTTTGGGAATTTTCTATTCAAATTGCTGACTATATAAAATTGTATATTAGTTCTAGTATCGGAAATTCCCTAAATCATATGAGAAACCTCCACTCTTATTTAAATATTAAGGAATTCATCGTCCCAAATTTACTTTTATAATTTCTTTTAAAATTTGAAAGTAGAGCTGTTACTGCAGGTAAGATCAGATATATATTTTACAAATATTCAATTAAATAAGCTCTAAAATCTGTAGCTTGTAATACTTATATTTCTGTGATAATTAAAAAATAAAGTAGGACTGATCGCCCTAAACTTTCTCAAATATTCTTAAATATAACACCACGGGGGACGTGATTTTTAATCAATGTTTACATAATTAAACTTTTCAAAATAAAGTAGAATCTCTAATGGGAAGGGCGAGGAGTTGCAGCTGCGATGAAACTGATATGATACATAATAGGAAATGATAATAAAGTTTTACTTATTAGAGTCCACCCAACTCTGATGGGTACCTAACTCACGTTAGGGAAAGTAAAGGCGGCTGGGCATAGTGCTGACCACACTATCTCTTCATATGCCGAGGTCACAGAAACAAGTGAACTCTACTTCACTTGCCCCATAACCGTCAGGTTTGAAAGGGAAACTTTACTTTTTACATACTTATTAGACTATTTTATTCGCGCTAGGAAAATTTAAACATTTAGGTTTTGGGTCATTTTTTTCTTACATTAAATAGATTAGATTACCATCATCTACTTTTACAACAATGGTTGGTTGTGTATAACAGTTTGTTCTTGTTTATTGTATTTCTAATACGCATGAACATTGTATACATTTTTAGATATTTCGTAAATCTTTGTGTGGTATATTCCCTAATAGGCTAAAATATTTGAATTATAAAGCAATTTTTTGCTAGAAATATTACGGAATATTTGCAAGTTAGTTTCGCGATTGTGTATCAAGACTTTTACATAAAAATAACAATCGAGAGTGGGGAAATTTTTTTTTTACATTGTTTCATTAATTTATAATTGACATTTTAGATGCGACTTGCAACATTTATCTGAAATTAACTTATTAAATACAAGTGAGATATAACCACTGTCACAACCTATTACGATGACGGAAATTATAACGTCACTTGAATTATATAATTTAAAAAAACATAAGGCCATAAACTAGTCGTCATTGCGATATATATTTTCAGGTATAATATCAAACTGAGGTAGATATTATTTTTAGAAAACTGCGCAATATATTAATTGTGAATTTTCTTTTGCTTATAAGACCTACATACTTTAATTTTCAGATGGCTAGCGCTAATCACGGTAGGACGGCTATATTGTACATTACAACAAACTTATATGTTGAATTATTTATTTTGTATTATTAGAAATCAGTAACGATGAAATTTAGTGTCATTGTCGTATTTTGATTCAGATTACATACTTGTTTATAAATAATATGTTGTTTTTGTTTTGACAAATTAAGGTAGAGTATGACTTACAAGTTGTAAAAATTCAATTCCATAGAAGCGAAATCAGATGACGCCTACGAAATTAGAATAATATCGCCACAAACCAAAGAAAGAAAAAATGTTTCAGTTGAAATGATGGATGTGAATGGCGACGACAATAAAGTGCATGTGGTAAATATACAGCACACAATTTAATTATCCCCTTCTCATCCTGCCACCACCGTTTATCCTTCAATATATACATATATATATATATATATATATATATATATATATATATATATATATATATATATATATATATATATATATATATATATATATATATACGCGTTACTTCGTCAACATATTATCATTGTAATTTTCACTACAGGTGAAGACTAGTATATTACTGGAAGAGATGGTAGAAAACCCAAATGACTACTATATGGTTGCTATCAACAAGCGCGAAGCAGAGAGAGAAATGGATGATGATGCAAGCATACTTGATTATTTTGAAGAAATGAGTTATGGGCATTTTGAATTTCGTTTGAAGGAATAAATATATTATTTTATTCATGTTTATATGAATATATGTAGATAAACTATAATATACCATTCCGATTTTACCCCTTTATTTTCGCTAATTCTTATGATAACTGTTTCCTAATTCTTAAGAGGCTTTTAAAAAATACGGATATTTTTAAAGCTTTAACGTTTTTTTTGGTGGTCATTTAATTAAATTATTTTTTTTTATCAAGCAATTTTTATCTAACAACACACACTTATATTGGATACTTGCCAGTCAGGAATGACGGCCTTATATAGCTTACTTTTTTTTCCTTATTTACTTCAACGAATGCTATGTAGTTTAAAACTCTGTTTTCAGCTATGAATTATTATTTGTTTGTAAGTTCTCTGCCATAGTAACTGCTAGGTCAGACTTTTTAATAATATAACAATGTGAATTTATGTGGACGAAAGTCAAGTTGCTACTATAAAACATAGCGTCGTTCGTTACACGCAAGAAATAATCTCTGAATTTCATTTAAAACTTAAGTTACATCCTACCTGTGTTTATGTGGAGTTGATTTTTTGCAATCGATCACAATTGTTTCACTAATTCATACGTGTCTTATATTTAAAACAACCAAATATTGTATAGAAATTACAAAATATATATCAAATACCTTAAAATTATTGTTTTTCTTTTCTGAAAAAATCATGCAACTGTGGATATTCCCGAATATATCCCAGAAGCAGTCCCATCTATGACGTCAAACTCCTAGGGGCGACGGCGACGTGGGGGGGGGGGGGTGGGGCGTAATTTTGTAACAATGTGTGATGGAGGGGATGGTGTAACGTCACACTTTTGCAGTGTAAAAAAGTAATATAGTACGTTGAATTTTAGTTGATTTTTAGCGTTTTAGAAAACTGTTTTTGTAAACGATAATAAAAAATTGATTAATATAATCTATGTTGACGGAGGTCAGTCAAAGAAATCGATGTTTAAAAAAAATTGAGGGGTTTTGCAGTATGAGGTGTGACGTCATTTTAGGAGGGAGTCTCGTTTTATGGAGACGATGTATGGCGGTGAGGAGGGAGAAGTAAAAAAATCCTCAAAAAATCCGATGTCGTTTATGGATGATCCCTATCTGTAATGTTTATGTTTTTAACACAATTTAGACTTTTTTCTAGGGTCTAAGTTAGACGAGTTGAGTATGTGACATAACTCTTTATGAGTTTGAGAAACGATTATGAATTGGTCTGTTGACAAATAATCTTATGACAGATCATCTCAGACATAATATCCTAGACATATTTTGTCCTGGTATATTCAGTCCGTGAGATCATTTGTCCGTGAGATATTTTTTCTCAGATATTTTGTCTGCGATCACTTGTCCTGAGATCATTTGTCATGGAACCAATAATCTCATCTGCATGCAATATTATATTAAAGTAGGCCTACACTTTTCGCTACATAGCCACACCTTCTGATGGGTCAATCTTTAGTTGGGTTGTGTTACTACTTTAGTTCGAATTTAAAAATAATTAATTTTTTAATCGCGTTTGTACTTTTTATTTATGAAACTGATGAAAAGAGAAATGTGTATAGGCGATAGAGTTTGTGAAGCCACGCAAATTGTAATGATATAACCCTGATTCTAAAATTAGATGCAAGCTACACCTTTGACTTCATTCGGATAAGTGAATGCATAATAAAAGGAGACTAAAACATTCGGAGAATTGTGTGAGGGGTTTGTGGCGCTTTTTCGAGTAAATACCGCTCTATCACTTAACCACTCAAACCTCAATACTTCTTTTATTTTTGTCACTTAAAAATCAGATAGTTTTTTCAAATTCTTTCTCCTCATTCGTATTTTATTGTACTATTGAAACAAATACCCTCTAACATAATTACGTGCCCTATAGACCGTTAGGTTTGGAAAGGGAACTTTACTTTGTGTGGGAGTTGTTGATGTCACCTACGATTTGGTGTTGCAGTTCTCCCATGTTTGCATACAATCAACAGAACATCACACTAACGAGCCAGGCGTACATGCACCCAAATCAAAACAAAACACGTCAAGTCGATGTAAATAATAATTGATGTTTTTAGGCTTTATTAACAATGTTTGTGTAAGTAGCCAGCAGCGACTAATTGTACATTTCAACGCGTAAATTCGTAACTCCAAATCTACACTTCATGGCAACTAATACCTTGGTTAATCTTACCAGAGGTCACCCTCACCAATTTCTATGAGAAACCAAATGCGAATCCAAGAAATAAATCATGTCTTCAATAACTATTTTATCAACCGGTAAAGAGAATGGACAACAACTGATGACTACACGATAACCGCTCACAACAGTTATCACTATATTCAAATAATTATGGATGATACTTTCAGCATTGTAGACTACTTCGATACAATGTGTACTGGACATTTATTATTTTTTTAAAACGTTGATAAGCGACAAACACGCACTCGCACATAGTAAAATTAAACCAAGCGACATTGCTGTTCAACAATTAACTTTAAGGGGATATGCGCATTTTTCTTCTATTTTTTTATAAAGCCTTTTGAATATCTTTATTATGTTTTTAAAATGAAAGTAAGTATTGAAACCGTAAAAAAGGGTTACTCTTTAAAGTTATTAATTAAAAAAAAGAACAAAATATCTGAAAGTGCAAAAAAAAAAAACAACATTCTGACGAAAAAAAAATTGTGATTTTTGTCGCGCATATCCCCTTAATTTAATGTACTGCCGCTAAGAACTTAAAACCTGGACGACTCGCCATAGCTGCCCGGGGCTCCTGGTCTGCTTCTGCTTTGATATCTCCTGGGATTTGCCTGAGTTTGTCTAACATAACTTGGGATGACAGTTTCCCCATGTACATCAGTTACATTGTCCCTTCGGTCAAATAAACCATGGAAGCTATTTGCCGGCGATTCTGAATTATCAGAGGTCGACGGGCTATGGTTGGCGAGGTATTTGGCGCTCAGAGAGGTTTTAAGTTCGTACTCTGATGAGGATGAGGTTTCGCTCCATTGTCTATTGCTGCTGTTGAATGGGTTGTTGTTGTATTGTTTTGACGAAGGATTGCCAAAGTAAGGAGCATGACCTGGAGTGCTCCTTTCTGCTGGTGACGAAGGATTGCCAAAGTAAGGAGCATGACCTGGAGTGCTCCTTTCTGCTGGTGACGAAGGATTGCCAAAGTAAGGAGCATGACCTGGAGTGCTCCTTTCTGCTGGTGACGAAGGATTGCCAAAGTAAGGAGCATGACCTGGAGTGCTCCTTTCTGCTGGTGACGAAGGATTGCCAAAGTAAGGAGCATGACCTGGAGTGCTCCTTTCTGCTGGTGACGAAGGATTGCCAAAGTAAGGAGCATGACCTGGAGTGCTCCTTTCTGCTGGTGACGAAGGATTGTTAAAGTTCGGAGCATGACCTGGAGTGCACTTTTCACCACCACACCACATTAAGATACCTAATAGACAAAATATACTATTCAATTACAATAGCTAGATAGTAACTACGACGGTGGTCCCTGAAAAAAAAGATAATTTAAAAAAAACAATAATTATTATTTATTAATTTTTTGGTGGGGGGGGGGGGGTAGGCTGAGTTTTGACCTCATTTTAGGAAGGGGGGGGGGGGTCTGGCCTTTTGAGCGTATGTGTGACGAAGGGGAGGGGGAGATGTAAATCAACAACAAAAAGACATGACGTCATGTTTTTATTTACCTTTTGCGACTATTCCACAGACTGAGATGAGCGATATTGCGTAACAAAAGCATGTGATTAGTGAGGGGTAGACGGACATTTGCCTCGCATTGCTTTGATGGGCGACTTTGGCATTCTGTTTTAAAATCCATTCGTCCCTGGAGAAAAATTCAATTTACAACAACACGTAAGGAAATAGAATCGAGAAAAAAAAAGATTCCTAGAGAGGTAGATATGGAGGAACGAGGAAAAAAGTTAATTAGGGTAAAAGAGAGTGAAATTGTATGTGAGGTGAGAGACAAATGAATGTATAGAGGAAACATGACAGAGCAGCACATAGAGAAACGAGAAGAACATGTGAGAAACAGGTATTGTAGAAGAACTCAGGTTGGAATAGAGAAATAGAGCATGGACAGACGGACTAAACGAGTAGTGTTTTAAAAATACTTACTGGCTACAACATTTGCCGTCGCAAAGGCCGTATTCGCACACGATATTATTGCTGCTACAGTCAAGCAGGAAAAAGAGTCCAATACAAAAGTTATGCCCAAGGCAACCTGCAAATAAAAAAAACAACTCCTGTCCTTTGCAATAATGATTTTTGACTTGTCAGTGTCCTTGTTTGTCTGATGTGGTTGTCAGTGGCAGAACTAGAAAAAAAGCCCCCCCCCCCCGCATAATTTTTTTGGGCCCCTATAAAAAGAATACTGTAGCTGCGGTTGGACTATCTTTATTATATAGAGACTATTTAATTCAACTTCTGGAAAACATGACACACGGTTGGTAACGTTTTGATGAAAGCCTCATAAAATTCGGCGTCAGTTTGGTGTGTTGAACTAGATTAAGAGAGTCCGTGCTTCTCGCTTGGTAAACTTGGGGCCAGCTCGTGTGTTGTAATAAATGTGAACAATGTCGGCAGTTCATTTCTTGTATCTTAGGGCGCGGGTTTGTCCACACTACTAACGAGACACGCCAAGACATGATGTAAGTCCCTGGGCGACGGCCCAGGTGTCAGGTGAGTCACTGGGCTCTTGGGAGCTGCTGGTTACATTACTGCAAAGGTGATTGGCGCGACACATTGTTTCTTCCGGTAGAGCCGACCCCCCCCCCCTCCCCTTCCCCGAAAACAGTCTATCGCCCCCCCCCCCCCATCCGAACGAAATGGAAATTTAAATACAAAATGTATACTTTAACCAATGTCTGACCCCCCCCCCACGAAAATATCAAATGCACCCCCCTCCCCGTGAGAAAAAAGTCTGGAAGAAACATTGGTGCAATAGCTGATTAGATTTAGTCATCGAGTGTTGTAGGGAGACTTATCCCTAGTGTTGTGTGAACTTTTAAACGACTGTCTGTTGGCCTGGGGCCTTGCTGCTCATATGTGATGTGCTCAGGATGACACTGCCGCCGGTGGATTCAAGTAGTAACCCCATCCGCTTGTACGGGATCTTGGGGCGCTAAATCACATATTTCCGTTAGGCGTCCCCACTCCAATATGTAATAGGTTTTTAGTTTAGGCTTTTGTTTGAGGTTTGGTAGTAGGTTAGCTTAATTTATAGGCTTGGATTTAGGGCTTAGGTTTAGGATCAGGTCTCGAGCTTGGGGAGGGGGTGGGGGAGGGGTGGGGTAATGACTGTTACTGGTTAGTTGTAGGTTAGATTAGAATAGGATAGAATAATCTAGAATTAGGGGAGAGTGCGTGTGTGAGTTGAGTTTACCCTAGAATATTTTTAACTCCGGTGTGTTTATGTATTGTTATCCCAAGGTCGAATGCGGTATAAAAGCTGGAGTATGGGTTAGCTTAATTTATAGGGTTGGAGGCCCTTGTTTTTACATGTTACG